TTATTTCCGATCTAACCGTTTTTGAAAAGCAACATTTATGTTGGTTACATACGTAGTAGAAAGGCTAACGATCACTTCGTGGAAGATCGATGGAACGGTATAAGGTAGCTCCTTTCCATTTTGCCCCGCGTACAACAAGAAGTTGTGGGGTTGGATAACTGTACTTCGCATCAGCCTCTTCAAACTCCCAAATTCTTCAACAGCAGGAAGGTATTTGGCGGAATGTTCACCAGGGCCAAACTTTCAAAATATATTGACGAAAACCCCAAGCTGAAACTAACGATAAATGCTCCCAAATGAAAAGAATTAGACAAGTCTGACATTCAGAACTGCTGCCTCTTCGGTTCGGGTACCGTTTCTGAGGACAATAATTTGAGACCGAATCAAGTCGAAAAAAGAGACAAGCGATAAGCGATACGAATTGACCATGTCACCTAATTGTTCAACTCCTCTGAAACACAGTGCGTGTGGTTAAGTTATGATATTCGGATAATGAAACCAGGGCGAAAATTATGGCGACAGATGATGTACACCAGCTGTTCACCATCCGGATTCGCATGGGACCGGGTTGCACATTCCCACACACAGCTAGCTGTATACCGCGTCAGACAAACTCAGTGATGGCGCTCTGCGACCCTAACAAGCAAGACAAACTGAGCTTCCAAACCACAGGCCTTGAGAAATATGAAAACGTGCCCCGCTGATAGTTCCATGTATCAATCGTTTGTCTACCGAAAAATGTGTAGCCTTCGGCTTCGGCATGATGGATTCTAAGTGACTTTTCGTACTAATTGAGCCAACATATTGCCACCAGTCCTCGTGGCAATTTCCAAATCACGAAGGTGAACAAACGTGCAAAAGATTCAACAGTTCCGAGCTCAGTGAATGATCACAGACATCTGAGGGGCAAACTGTCAGCTCCCGTACATTATGTCACTATAAATCCCCGAGAAACCGTTCTGTGCCCAAAAAGTCAATGTGATTACCAACCGCAAAATAGGAGGTCAACGTTGGTTCTACAGTGTCGTGCAGGTGTTATGGAAGAGGTATCCTGAGAATACGGTAATACTATAAATAAACTACCAGGAATAGTACGCAGAACAGCCTCCGATTCTAACCGGACTGTCGTGGAAGACAGTATTATGGTAAAGTATGAACAACCAAACGGTATCAGTAAAAAAATGGGTTAGGCGAGAAAAACAATAGTGATATCATTAGATCACTGATTAACTGAAGTAAGACACAAACAACTGTACACCAACAAAAGACACAATTTAGTAAAACTAGACTCAGAGCAACCCTAATGTCATGGTGTGATTTGAATATCACACAGTGTATGATGTTAGGGAGGAGAACAATTTCAAACACTCCGCTTTTGAAGGCGCATTTTATCACGGTTATGTGTGCAGTCAGAATAGCTGCGAATCATCACGACAAAAGTTCGACAATCGGTCCATGTGGGTCGTAGTGGGGAATGAGACTGTGGCAGGCAGTTGATGTTTTGAATCAAAGTCGTGAGTGCGCAAGGTTAGCATGCCTTTTGAATAAAACTAGTTAGCTAAAACCTTCGTTGAGTGATAGACGTTGTGGTTTATTCCACAGGAGTACTGTGACAGAATATGAAATGGTGAAAGCAACGAAGTTGAAACAAGGGATAACACCATCGGAACCGGTGCGAACCTGACCTTATATCGACCTCTTTAGATAGATGGGGAACATAAGACTATCCGAGCTAAAGGGTAGTCACTTGAAAGAGGAGTGAATTAAGACATTTGATCGTCTCTTAGTGATATCAGTGAATGACATCCAGCAACATCCAGCGATTTAGTATAGACTACTTTCTCGTGGAGCAATGGAAGTGACCACATAAAATCCAGCATGTTTTTTCACACATGACACACTTCTGGACTGAACTAGAGAATAAACATGAAAAATAGCAAGAATTTCATGGATTTAGGGAGATTTCGCCTTGCGTCTAACTGGTTGTAAAACGTCTGTGTAGAATATTAACATGAATTAATTTTTCAAATTCGAACACATAATGAACACCGAACAACCACGGTATTTCAAACACAACTTTCAGAACGTTCAGAATCTTCAAATATCAAACCTGGGCAACTGAACAATGAAAAGAGGCAGCTACGCGTCAAATCATGGGTTCCAATGGGTTCCCATCAAACACGAGGGACATTTTTTTCTTATTTTCTCTGCATAATGATCGAGCTTTACAATCGTAAAACGATACGGGACGAACTTTTGTGTTGTAAACTCTGTCGCTCATCGACAAGTTCATATCACATGGATCTTACAGGTAACCAGGATGAGAGAAAATACGACGGACTCGAGCGATTTTTTGCCCGTAATGCTGCCACCTGATATGATGCAACTACCCTGGTAAGTATATTTTCCCACTATTCCTAGTGGTGCTGATCACATCGGCAGCTGTAACGCCGTGGCTATCCAGTTTCACAACAGAGCTTCGCAATCTAAAGGTATACAGCACACACCGAATCTTTTGGCAACAATACCCAGATTACTTAGTGTAATTTGTATCCGGATAGAATCTGAACTAAGTAGTGCGATATGATCCGTATAGTCCATACCTTTGAATCCCTCCCCGGGGAAAAAGTCTACGTCAGAGGTAGTAAACATAGCGAGATCTAATTCCATTATCAAAATGAACAGAAGACAACCTTTCCGAACACCGCACTCGGTGGTAAACGCAGGAGAGTTATCCGTGGGCATTAAATAATGAGGATCGGAAAAGTGCTGTGATGATGTTTGGTAAACTCATTAGCAAACTAAGTTAAGTGGATGCCGGTCAGATCTCCTACTCATTCTTACCCTGAATATTCTACACAAAAGCCTTTTTATGCCAAGATAACGAGGCATTTTCCTTTCTATGACGTTACTCACAAAGTATGGGGACTAGGCCTACCTGATAAGTAACAAACGGGGTGAATTTCGGTGCACCTCTACGGGACAGAAATTGTCACAAGGCTGCTCGACCCCCTGAATCAATGGTACCCTAAGAACTGAGACAGCAATTGTTGGCTTCATATACGTATAGCGGTTTCCGAGTTATTGCAAGTTAAGCATGTAGTTTATGCATCCACGAAGCGGGAGGAACGCCGCTTTATTCATGACAATGCTTTTGGCGATTGTGGATGAATTTGCTTGGGACAATATGCTTTAACAAACTGAAGGCGATGCAGGTAAAACCGATACCCTGACGATTCCCACGCTCAAACCTTAGACCTTCTTGTGGGAATCTCAACAGATGTCTGACAACTCTCTGGCGCTTCAATGGTCTTTCAAATATTCTTCAGGAGTTATGAAAGGATATGAATCAGCCCTTCTACCACACACTTAAACAAGACGGGGTCAGACATCCAGGAGCGAGACCGCTGTTTTCAAATAATTCTTCTATTGGAATCAAGCAACCCACACAAGTGGTGGGGCTGGAAATGCGTTAATCCTTAAATGAAACTGTGAAGGAAGTCAACGTGTTCTTCGAAATGCACCGCACATCAAGACAGACGCGACTTATCATAAATTTTTAAGCTATGTCTCTATGTGACTACTTTACTGACCAGTGGTTTTCGTGTACAATGGCACCATGCGCGGTGTGACAGACAAATTGGAAACGAGTTTGACAGTTTACGCTCGTCCCAGACTTTACAGTCTTTTGAGCTTTCCTCATTCACCACTTCTGCTGACTGGTTACAAAAGACCACGGATGGAACGTCGTTTCGAAGGTCTCGCTGAGTTGTGTTGTCGGCCAGGTGATATCAGTCAGGGATATGGATGGCAGTGAAATGGTTTGAATTGAACCACGAATTCATTTTGGTATGCGCATAGCCAAAATAAGAACTCGCTGCGTTGCGACCATTCCTTTCAGCCGAACGGCTTGCTTTGCACTCGTGCGTCGCCTAAACAGCAGTCATCAGCGGAATTTGTGACGACTGCTTCTGGGTCACTTGACACTCGAAAATGTAAGAAAACTGAGTTGTTCTGGACTGTGTTGAGATGTGTTGCGGCGATCAGGTTACAACACATCGGTTTTCAACGAGGGAAGGTTACGACCTCTAGGTGGTTGTTCCACAATACGGATAGAAAATGCCAGTGATTACTGAGCGGTACGTGGAGTAATCTGATAACTAAATGTTGACGACTCCGAAGAAGTATGGCTTTCTCCGAAGGTTTTTATAAGGAAGAAAATCCGTGCTACACGCAAACAGCCAACTGGCACTCGGCACCCAGACTTCAGAAACGGTGCCGCAAATGTGCTTTGAACAAAAATCTTCGGACGCAGAGGCGTACTTGCCTCCTGCGGTTACTTTGGATAAAACGGTGCGAAATTAGCACACCTCAATGATAACAATCGATCACACAATACGCCGTTTTGTTAGTGTCTAAAAACACTGCACAAAGGAAGCCACTCAAGGTCGGTTTTCCTCTACGCACACCAGCTGGGCTCTTAGCTATGGGTCGGTAAACTCTGTGGACTATACCGTAGTTGGAGTAGTATTCACCACGCATCTTTCAGCAGAGAAATGACAAATTACGAGTCCGCTGGATATGAAGCCTGAAATGATTCCCTACGATTTTACGCCACCAAAGCACCGCTAGTATGACCCCGGTTCACATCATTTTTTACCAAACCTGGGAGGTAGTTTACGGTGGGACGCACTATTATTCGAGTTATTATTATCCAACGGATTTTGAGACAGCTTCAGTCACTTGTCCTCGTCGGTAAACATAGGCGCACTGCAATAGTGAGCCTATACGGTAAGCCTAGGTGGAATGGGAGAAAATCGCTGAACACATGGGAGTTAACATGGAAAACTAGTAACTACGGAGTTAAAACACATCATGGATGGAATGAAAGACAACAGTGAATGAAACACCAGAATAATCAAACAGTGAATAAACACCAGAATAATCAGTGAGATAAGATGAACCGTGATTCAAATGGTGCACACGGAAAATGCTCACCTCTGACCAAGATCAGGTGTTACAGCTATAACAAAGGGTACGAATATCACAAACAGCTCGTTGAAGACACCATCGTCTTGCCCCCAGTTTAATGGATCACTTTCACTTGTGAAGTATCCCCAAACACCATATCCTGCCAGAGAGATTTCACCCATGCACAAAACACTTGATCAACTACATCAGTGTTGGTTAAAACGTCACCTAACTTGTCTGAAAGGCATATGGACTTTTCACAACACGTTAAAGGGTTAGAAAACAGGATCTGACCGACCAGTGGACTAACACCGTGTTCATCAGCTGCGTGAGTGAACAGCGACAAGCTATTATTACGATACCAGCAAGTGAACACATGCAATATGCACCAATGTTGTTGTATCAGTTGACACCCAGGGACTGGACAATCAGCTTAAACTAATGAACGCGAACGCATTCATAGTACAAGTCAACTGTATGTCGTGAAAGAATACAGATACATCTAAACGCAGCTCCCTTTGAAGGAGACCAGTCCCCCGCTTTACTATAATCGGAATTCAAGCCACACCGAAGTAAAAGGTGAGTGCAGCTGATCGTCACAGAATATCAGCCCAACTTTGAATGGAAAGTTTTCTGTGAGATGTAAAGTTGTTCCGGCAAGTAACCGATAAACAACTACAAACAGCATATAGACGACTGAATAGTTCCCGTAAATTTGCAGCACTAGCTTACTTCGTTAGAGGTATGTAAGAAGAACATTGACACAGAAAGTCGGTTTCTAGGAATAACGAACGTCATGACTGTGTTTTTCTGCGAATCCATAATGACTATGTGAATCCCCCAGAGCTATCTTCAGAGCAGCATTTTCTTGGCTTCGTACTTATTCCCCTCACCTGAAGTAATCGCTGTACAACGTTAAGGGCTGCTTTGGCAAGTGATATCACTGATCAGTACGAATTCGAATGGACTGTTCGTAGCTTTAGCTTGGAGCAGAGTGGTCCACTTCGGAAATTACATAAGAGAACTGCTTTCGGGGAAGTAAAGCACAATATCAGCCGTTCAATTCGGTCAATGGACAGACAAATTCCAACTGCGCTAGCCAGTCGCGGTAGACTGACAACAAACCAGTAGGTATGAGCCACACAATTAACACAAACCAGAAGAAACAGTAGTCTTTTACTAGTCAATAACTTGGAAAAACTCAAACGCATTGGAATAAAACAGAAAATGACGCTCAAACTTCCTTGTGCTTGCTATCGGCAAGTTAATCGACGTGCTGTTTGGCTTGAGGATATCCATGCTAATGACATACTCGATGAGTGAAAGGCCAGAAACAAACCTTGACGAGTTGCCAAGTAGCTAAAATGCTCCCAGGAACAAGCACAACGTCCGCCACCCTCAAATACTAGGGAACAAATCGAGACGTCAACATGTGATAAAAATTCTGAAACAGGCGGGGGGCCTATGAAGAATGTGAAGCAACAAAAAAACTTTGGAAATTAGGGTGAACAATAGGAATAAAGGAAAAAGGTTACGTACCGTGGACGTTCCTCCCAATGCATTGGCAAAAGTCTGATGGAAGTGTAAAAATGCCAAAGGGTCCTCTTCTTCCTCCGCATCACGCAATTTGCCTAAGGTTTCCTTCTTCAAAGTCCAGTAGAGCGATCGCCCTGGACGTTTCTGTTTGTGATGCAGCTCGGCGTCTAGAATAAGGCGATTAGTCTCGTTTGCCTCAAAATATATTCGTTTCTTGACTCTCTTTGGTACGTCAGGTATCATGGCAGCGATTAAGGAGGTCAGTACGGTGGCAACAGACTGTAGCGAAAAAGTAGCGAAAAAGCCACAATGACAACTTGAACGCACGATAAATCCAACTGTAGCTACAAGCGTCCGATGTAACAAGACGATCGTTGAAACCTAGTCTAAACAATATTGCACAAAAATTTAAAACAACAGAATGGAGTTATCATAAGGCTGGTTTTGCGTTTTCATCATCATCTGATGGAAACGAGGTCTGATACGCAGAAAAAAGTACAAACTACTGATTCACATATATTGGGTCGATGAACTTCGATAGTACACACAACGCCAATGAAAAATCGTTTGTCAAATAAGCCAAGCTCCCAGTCACCAAACTGTGAATTAACTGTTAACTGATATGCAAGTCCAGGAAGCTTATTTCGAACAGAGTCACAATGGTCTTCGAAACCATATTTCGACCTCGGGGATGTCAATCAGTTGGAATCCCCTTCACGCTGAGCCACGCCTTCTTCAAGCAGGATACGCAACATCATTGAGGGTGGATTAAAAGAGGTGGGTAAAAAGGGACGGAAGTACACATGGACCGACGCTCAGTGAATCATGCGAAGAGAACTGAACAGTTCGATTCAACAGTGTATGTGGAGGGTAGACTGGCGATCTGTGCCAATCTTATGATTATTCGGTCCTGTCTTTAAGATATCATTCTCACTCCTAGCAGCACGACCAAACTGGAATTTATTTTGAAGCGGTCATTTGTATGGATGGTACCTGTCTTTAGCAGACCAGCTGAGCCCTGATGTAACTATTAGCAGGACCAGCTGCATCCAACAGGATACTAAGGATGATATAGTAGGCGAATGTTTAATTATAGATTCAATCACAAGTTGGTGGAATTTTATGGTAATAAACTGGTAAATGTACCTCTGGTGTGGATGGGAACATGGGGGCACATTCATATTGATTCACATTCACTCATATTCGGAATTTGATGGGATCAACCGAAAGCTCGGTGCAGAAGTGGTAGCTTTGCTGGCGTTCATGCAGTGAGGTGGTGTAACGTGTGATTTCTCAACTACTTTAGTCCAAACCACCGCAAGCTCGTCTGTCTGATATCCTCAGAAGGCGACGGCAAGCGGTCTAAACCAGTCAACACAAAAACTGAAGGTAGAGCTAACTGTGTCGCTTGTCCCAAATGTTCTTCGTTTTGTGCGATCCGAAACCGCCTGTCGTTGAAGCGATAGACTATAGGGTGCAGTGTCTCCATAAAAGTTGCTATTTTCTGTGTATCCACCCATCCGTTCATATGAGTTAGGCTGGTGTCACCGAAACTAGCGCGGTCATTTAGTGCCATTTCTGACTACAGCGTATTGCTTACTTCTTTGTGATATTACGAGAGATAAGTAGCTTAAGCGCATTGTTAGGGTGTTAGTGGAAGAAGCAGGCTTATAAGCGGTGATACGTCGAGGAAAAGTGCCCCAATATCGTGAATGTCCTTCCAACCAAAACATGAGCCAGACTTCGTGTGACCCATCGTGTTAAATATTACGAGAAGCGTGCAGTACAGCTTAGTTGCGGATGTCAGAAGCTAATTTGCAAATCAGGGCGACCCCATTTATCAAAAATTGGTGGTTAAGTGAGAAATGAGATTGGTGGAAACTCGGAGACTACCCCTACTTGATGAGCCTCAAAAATGGCAAAACTGTTTGGGGGTTGTCAGAGCACTTCGCCAACCGTAAAAGTAGCGTTGCGTCAAGAAAAACAACCAAACTGTTCAATTGTATTTAGCTCTCCACACGAAACCTGCCCAGGGACTCACTTTTCGTCAACTCGAAAAGCCGCAACCATTGCACACGATTGTGTAGGACTACTGTCCGTAGTTCATTAATACACAAAATATAGAGATATTGCACGTCTGATATTGTTACCGTTCGACTGGCACCAAACGTTCGAGTCAAGCATCACACGTCAAAAATGTTCATTAATCAGGTCATATACTGACAGATAGCGTATTGCTATCGCATAACTTTAGCATTACTGACCCGGTGTTCCAACCTGACTCGGGCAATGCTTCGAGGACATCGATGGTCAAACTCTGACCCTTATAAGAATATGAAGCGCACCGAAGTATTGTAAACTCGACCATTGAGAGATAACACGATATCACGCCTATTCCATATGTGAAGCGGGTTCGCGAAAGCTGCTCGGACCTTCCCAATTCGGATGGAAATATCATCGTTGCCTGGACCACCGTAATTGGTACAACTGTCAGGGTACACAAATTTATCTGCCACCTCAATAGGGTACTCCGCAAGCATGAGATTCGAGAGTTCAAGCAACCCAGTCTTGCAGCAGTAGTTTACACTTTGAAGGTGTGAGAGGAATACCAAACTGCGAGGAAGAGTTATTTATATTATTTAATTTTGTCTACGTTACATTACAAAAAGGGCTATGTCGTCTGCATACTCCATATCTGTGAGCGGATTCCTTGGGCAGTATAGGATGAGGGCGAGTGTTTCACGATTATATCAACGACGTAATTAAAGAGGCAATATCCCTTACCTCAAAAATAAATACAAAAATGAACTTGACCGCCAGGACGTGGTAGAATATGAGGGTATGTGACATTTCAGGATCTTCCCAGGGTGGCTTCCGATAATCGTCATAACTGGAATGGAAAGAGTACACAGGTAAACACTGAAAATCTGGAAAATCTAGTTATCACTAAAAGTAGTCCCTGGTACCTACGCGCTATTGTATATAAGTACTAACCATAGAATTCGAGTTCATCAAAATGGATGGCAAGTGTTTTTTGCAAACAAAACAATCCCATTGCCTGAGTTTAGCCTCGGAACCATTCATAGTCTTCTTTTAATTGTTTGCTTTTATGCTGCCGTGTCTGACTTTTAAAAAAACCTTTTCTTGGCCTAGAGACGGTGAATATAGTCCTGTGAACTATCTGATGGGGTGTCCATATCGAGGCCGGGCTGGTAGCCTTCTGGTTGTATCCACCAGCGATGTGAAAAACCGTAACTCACATAAATTTTTATGTGATTCAAAGTGAACGTGCCCTGTGCTGACAAGTTCCCAGTGTGAGTACCTATAGTGGTTCGCCACTCCTACCTTGGTTCTTTCTGTTCCGTCCAATATGGTATATCAAAAGGCACGTTAGCTTGAGACAACTCAGAATGGAGACAAAGGAAGGTTGATACAGACCCAACACATATTTCCAGAAGCGACCAGCTAAGTAGCTCGCCTTGATTGGCACATGTTCCAATCAATCAAGAAACGCCTTCTTTTGGTCCGCAGCCGGCTCGTGACACCCGGTTATTTTGAGTAATTTGCCTTGGTAGAGTGCGGACGTTCGACAGGAGGACTCTCAACTTCAAGCTTCTATATTTCGAAAAAAACACTATATAGGGGGAAAACTCCCGTAACAATTGATTTTAATCACGCTCGTACATCCTGTGGATGATGAGCAATCGATTTCAAGCGTATGCGGAACGGGAAAAAAATGTCGTGAAAACCGAAATGGAAATGACATCTCACCGGCAATAGGTTGTATTTGAAACGCCTGGAAAACGTGAAGAATCCATGTAGGATAACGTGAAGTTCTTGAATCCAGCATCCGTATGATCCGGACTGTAGTGCATTCGATAAACCCATCGATCGATGAACTGTGTGCTGAATGCGATCACACATGCCTAGCAGAAAGGTTCATATACCGACTGTGGTTACAAATCACATAATTCGTCGATAATAAGGTGCGTGACTAAGGGTTCAGGATATCATATGCTTTAAATACCATGAATTCACTCGGTTGAACTTCCACATCCTGAGTGTAAAGTAGAATTGACACACTGACGAAATCATGTGGTTGCACAGGTCAAAAATTTTTTCCCAAAAAAGTAAAATGCATGCTACGTTGCGTGTCATGTAAATAACATGACATCAGACGAATCCGAAGTTTGGCTTATTTGGCTAGGTCAATCAGTATCAATTCAACTTTGTTTTTAACCAATCATGGTCTGACGGATGCCGAGTGGAGCTTAAAATGAGTGTGACGTATGAACACTTCTGAACACCTGTTAGTATACAGTGAAACGTACCGTTCCAGTATGTTTTGCCCGCGAAGAGCGATCTTCCAATTCGACACAGATCGGTCACATTGTTCTCTACACAGTTTTATATTACTTCACTGTGGGTGAATAAACCTGTCATATCTTGAAAAGGTGCTGTCACGACAAAGGAAGTGTTCTCTCTGATTATCGTGACTACCAGCATGAAGAACTGCTGTGCTATGCTCTGCACACCTCAGCCGCCGATGCAGAGACCCAGAGCTGTCTTCACTGTGCGCGTAAAAGTACAAAGCATGTCGTGAAGATTGTAAAACTATTGTAAAACGAACGAGTTCATCAAACTCACGCGCCATAAACGATAGTGGTGAAGTCTGCAGTTGAGGCTACGGTCAGACAATTTCGAAATTTGCAAAGCCACAGTTTTCATAATTAGACGCTAAGAATAACTAAGAAATTTACAGCACATCTACTCGTCAATGATTATCAGTGCTTACCTCTTGGATAAAGTACTACCTCGCAGGTAGGCTACTAACGGATGCTGCGAAAATCGAACACGCATCATCATCATCATCGTCAGCTGTAAGAACCGCATACTCGTCGTACACTGGTCGTAGCTGCCGCAGTTTCGTTCACCGATGATTTGAGGGGGGGGGAGCGGCGCACTGCCCGCGCGAGCTGGTAAATTGGTGCATAAATCCAGCACTGTCAGTGGGCTGTCGAGTTGGGGGGTTGGTTGGAAAAGGAGCTATGCATTGAAGGCAATAGCTTTGATGCACGAGCGCCATTGAGCACGCATAGGTGGTACTTTTCACATGTACAGAGTGCCTTATGTCAAACAATTAATTACCCTACACAATCCTTCTATTTAATCAAGACTTTAAGCTGTTCTGGCATGTAGTCCGTATTGTGCACCTGTTATACGTCCTATATCCCATGAAGATACCATAACAAGCAAACGTACGATATTTCAGAGTTCCTAACAAAATTCGGCCCGGACAGTGTTAAAAAAACTGAGCACCATGTGGCATATAAAATGGAGAATCAGACATCCGAAACAGCGTGGCAGAATAAGATGCTATAATCTGTTTCGGTTGCCGTTGGCAACCTTTTAAAGAATTTCTGCAATCAACTGAATACCAGTCAGTGATCGTGGGAATTCCTGAAAAAGGCTACCCATGATGGCCGAAACTTCGAGTTATAACATCTTATTCCACTACGCTGGGTTTTGACTTTGAAAGTTTTCATAGTCAGCTGTGTCTCTCCGAAATTCGGCCTCCCTCAGGAATGAGACGCTTGATGGCGAGTTGTCGTATTTTTCATTCGTGTGTACGTGGTTTTCAATTTGTCGAAATATAGGTTGATTTTTCATTCGTGTGTGTGTGGTTTTCAATTTGTCGAAATATAGGTTGCTCGGGTGTGTTCACTGGTGGTTGATCACATGACAGTTGATCCGTTCGCCGAGCTTGGCAATTGGCTTGCCCGGTAAGCCATCTGATCAACCACCGATGCACATGGTTCACACAACTTTACCGTCCTAAAATGTCCATTTAAACGTCATTAAAAAAATCCGCCCGTGAAGACGGATGGAAGATAATTTTTCTGTTGTCTCACCGACTTTGAAGGTGGACGATAAGGCTGAATGACCTTCGAGGGATAGATATAAACCAATAGTGAGCGCACTACGACAGCAGGTAAACCATGGTTAGTCTCCCATCAACAGAAGTGGGACTTTAATGGAGTTGAGACATAACACGTTTTGCAGAGGAACTGAAACGTCGTGGTGTGAACCGTTTTTTATTCGTCAAGCCTGTGTGACGCGAGACGACACCGTGGCGTTTCATTTCGTTAACCTTGATGTTGGCTTGCTTGTGCCAATGGTCCTTTTTTCTGTTCACCGTTTTGCGCCCTTTGACAGGCACATGTTAGCATTCACCCATACAGTAATAAACGCACACAACGCACTCACGTGCTAGCCGCTTGGTCCGATGATTGGATTCCCTCGGTTATCGCCTACGTCTCTATTTCGTAGTTAATTGGTGATGGCTTTGATGACTTAAATCGTTGTTGCCTGTGACACGGATGTGTCGCTGTGGACCGCTGGAATAAAATTCATCGTGACAACTTGGTATGTTGGGGAGTCAAGCTTTGTGGATCATCTTGTATGAATTAAATATGCCGGTAAATCGCATAGCCGTATGTGGTAGACATGGACTGAGATCACCCATTACTCGATTGTGAACAGTTATACCTAATGATTCGATAAAATTGGAACTCGGAACTGGCACTCTGATCTTAGGTCCACTACAAAGTAGAAATGGTTTGGAACATGGAGAGCACACGAACACTCCAAGTTCATGATATGCGGACGCAGGTATCTGGGTATGGGAACAACACACGGTACAGAAAGCAAATTACCGTACAAAACCTGACCGAACACTCTTTAGACAAAACTCACATTTGTGCGGATGGCAAGACTTGACAGAACAAGCAGGATGGAGTACCAAATACCTGGGAAATAAAAAAACGTGACTCCTGAGAATGGATATGAAGGTGAGTATAGACAAGGGGTGAACCAAGGTGTTGAAGTGAGACAATCAACTAGATTTCCAACAGCTAGGCGCACATTCCACCCAATATGAACGTTCAGACGTAATCCTGGCTAAAAAAATATATCTGAATAGCAGTTAGCAAGGTGCCTCAGTTCAAAATCCAGTGTATTTGAAGTGCTGACTCGCTTCGTCTAAGTTTAAGCCAGGTTTCGTTTCTGTCTCAGTTGCGCAAAACTGAGTATGTGTACTAAGTACTCGTCCACGTGATCTTTCTGTAGACAAATCTGTGAAATGAACCCTTGGGTTGTCTGATGAATTTAACGTCCAAGAGAAGGAAGGTGTTACTCTCGGCCCCAAAGCTGAATGTCTGATTGAAATTGTTTAGATGAGCGTCCGTTTGGGATCTGCTTGATAAACGTACAAAAATATCGACGTACTGTCGACAGAAATGGGTACTCTCAATTTATCACTTCGGTCCATGAACTTAAAGTTTACCTGTAGAAGGCACTCAACAGGGGACCAAAAGGAGAGCTTATAGCAACACCAACGAACTGTTAGTGAAATGAGGAGTTAAGTTGAAAATGTACGTTAAAAATGTAGCGCGAAAATAATGTTTCTAGAAGTTAGTAGGGACCGAGGATGTCAAACCTGATGGGTCACTGTAATCCCAGATGAAACTCAACTCCGGTAAAATGCCCAAGGAGTATGTGGATTTTGAGGTGAAACAAATGTATTTTATCAGCTCCAGAAGCTCAAGAGTGTCAGAGAGACCGCATTGGTATAAACGCTGGCGTAGGAGTTCTAAAATCTCGACCATTCGACAACTGCGTGAAAAGAGAGGAACTACACATATCAAAAACGGGTATCAATGGGATATCTTTCTTATAAAATTCAGGAAAACCACAAATTCGTGATAGCGATAGGCTTGAGATGTTGGAAAAGGCTTCAGAAAACAGACCTTCATTCACCAGAAAATTTGTTTGGCTTCCCAATTACCTGGGCATTTTGCTGTTTGCTAGGTTCTCAAGTACCATCCAAGATTTACGTCCTCATTCTAAGGAAATCATTTCCGTTTATTGATAATATTCCCCTCTGGCGGTTTTTATTAGCAGTACGTCACTCTCTCCTCGCAGGATTTTTAAAGAGTCCAGATGTTACCTGGTATGACGACTTTCGTGCACCATCTTAGCGTGGTTGTAGTGATGGGAACAATTGACCAGATAGGCCGCTGAGGTCAATAGTCTAAGTGAATGGGTTCTCAAAGTGAACTTTAGTGGCTAGTCTATCATCCCCATGGAGTGGAGAGTAGAATTTCAGCCGTGGCGATGAAACCTCCAGTGGCATTTAATTGATAACCAAATTCAAACACTAGTATTTGACGGATCCAAAGCTCTTCTCATTAGAAAACGGCCAAACGAAGCATCTTTAGTCTAACAGTCATTCAGCATCGAGGCTTTCAAGGAGCCCACCAGTGGGCATTGATTTCTTGCTGTGTTTACTATGAAATGTGAGAAGCTGATTGGCAGAGACAACAGGAAATAGCTAAGGAGATAGAGAGGCAGACAACCATAGCAAGCAGTCAGGACAACCTGATTTTAGACATAACACCAAAAGGCAAACTCTGGGTCGTATATATCC